CAGTCAGAAGAGGAACTGGTGAGATTGTCGTGCCCCTCCTTTAGTCATGTGCAGTGGAGCCCAGCGTGTGACAGGGGAGAGGGCACGAAAATCCCTTTCGCTTTCTATGTTACTGATCGGGGTTGGCGCAGGCGCACTATATCCCAGAAGTGTGATGCACAGAGACCATGAAGAAGATCTTTTGGTTCTGGGAATGATCTAGAACAGAGGTTCCCAAACTTATTTGGCCTACCACCCCCTTTTCAGAAAAAAATTACTCAGCCCCTCCTGGATATCTACCTTCAAGAAATGGATAAAAAGATGCAGTTTGTGGATCTGCACCTAGATCATTCCAGCCCACCTGAATCGTTCCAGCGCCCCCCCCCCCCCAAGGGGCAGTATTGCCCACTTTGGGAACCAGTGAATAGAGGATCAAATACAGGGATGAACCAATTTTGCAAGGGTCTCATCCTGAGTTGGGCAAAGTTATAGATGCCATTAGACCTAATAGTCTTGGTATAGAAATTACTCTGGAAGCAGTTTGTGGTAAACTGCCTCACTAGGCACTTAATTTGCAGAGCTGCTATGCTGCCATGGGACTGATGGGAAGGTATGTGGTCAAGTTGGTGGAGGTGCTGGAACAAACTGAACTGAGGGTGGGTTATTGGGAAAACTGACCTGTTCCATACCCAACAACCTCCAAAAGAGACAGAACTGGTGAGTGTGACTGTAGCAATGATGTTTGCAGTGGAGGTAGGTTCCCAGTGATGATACTCAGTATGATTCTTTTTTTTTAGTAAATATATTTATTGGGTTTTACCATTATATACCGATATTATACATACATACAAAATAAGCAACAAGAATACAGCTAATATTCTTAAACATCACATTCATCCCAGCAACACAGAAAAAACCCACCCTTCACTTAGCTTATAAGAAAGTATACTCTTATTGTCATTCTTACACTCCTATCCTATCTGTCTTGCAAAGTTCTTCTACTATCTTTACAACTTGTTATTTAAGATTCCATTCATATCTGTGATGTATAGCATTATTTTAGCATCTTATCATTTTACTATCTTTAATTCAAACCATTTTAGTTGCATCTTGTTGACCTTTTACAATATAGGCAGACACCATAGACAGACACCATATTATCTTTTTGTATAATTTTTCCTGTTTTCATATTTCCCTTATACCCTTTGACTTAATTTACCATTTTATTGGCACTTAAATACCCCATTTTCCATTTAACTCTTATCTTGCATTACCAACCTAGCATTAATCCAGCATACACATTCCCTTCTTTTAGCAGCATACATCCCTTCATATTATACCTTGAGGCCTTCTGCTATCTCTCTTCACATCCTTTCCTCTTTCCTTGTTCAACACTTCCCTTTCGAGACTCGCTAACTTTTTACTATTTGACTATTAACTCCTCCTCTCTTCCAGAGCTATATAAAGGCTTTACATTTCTTTGAATCCCTTCAGATTTATTCCAAATTCATTATCAAATACTCAGTATTCCTATTCCCAATTGATTTTCCCCTCTTAATCAACCCATACATTCATACTTCTTCCAAAATCATTAATTCTCATCTGTCATTCATATAAATTTAATCATCCCATTAGTAACTTAATAATTTAATATACCCTTTCATTCTTCCAATCACACATTATAAACTTAATTTAACCTTCCCCATCAACCATTTACATCTCTCCACCCCTACTACAGATGTATATAATAACTACCAATAAATAAATTTAATCAACTAACACCACTACAAATAACAATACATGCTTAAAGTGATTCTTGGGTGTTTATGCCAGTTAATCCTGCATCTGAAAAATACCACACTTTCTATTTTTTTTTACAATTTGTTTTTCTTTTTCTGCCTCTACTTCCTGTTCTTCTATCTCAATCCTTCAACTTGGCTTCGATCTTTACACACCCTTTGACTTCCTAGTCTTTTAACTAACCCACTACCAATAAAAATACATTTTTTGAGTAATTATTTTTTGGGGTCTTTTTTCCAAGTAATCCTATATCTAACAGACATCAAGCTTTCTAATTTTATACAATTTATTTTTCTCTTTCCGCCTCAATCTTCTGTTCTTCTGTCTCAATCCTTCTACTTGTCTGTGATCTTTACACATCATTTGGACACACATCCTTTGAACTTCTACTCTTTCTGTTCTGTATCTCCGTCTTTCCTCTTTCCATGATTTATGTCCTTCTTCCCTTTTCCTCTGCCACTTTCTGCGTCTTACAATCCTTCCTTCTCTCTTACTTCCTATTTTTTGTCTCCGTTTCTTCCTATTTAGCAGTCTTTTTAATAGTCTGTTTGTGCCTCTGACCAATTTGTTATTTAGCCTCTCTTTTTCCACTCCGGAAGCTACCACGTCTATAATATGTACTTTTTCTGATTGTTCTATTATAGCAGTGCCTCCTTCCTCCTTTTGTTCTTTCTTGAGAGTCTCTTTAGACAAGTCTCTTTCTCCAATCTCATTCTCTGTGTTTTGCATTCTCCCCAGTCTTTCTCTACGAGCCTCCTCACAGCCTCCCTGTACAGCCTCTTGAATTGCTTCCTTTAGAACTTTCAGGAAGTCTTCCATCTTAAGTAAACAGTCAATGTCCCTCTGTTCTTTCTTCTTTTACCGATAATCCAATCTAACCCGATGCAGAGTATCTTCCCCCACAAGGTAATAAGGAAACTCACAGTCTTGTCCGTATCTTTTCCCGGCCGCTTATTTCTTCCACAGTGGACGTAATTCTTTTTTGGGGAGTTTCTCTTTGTACTTTCCAACTTTCCAACTTCTTTTCTGTGTTTCTGGACTATTGCCGAGTGTTGCCGATAATCTTTTTATAAATTTAGATTAAAAAAACGGGTGGTCACGTTTAGTAGAACATGGCGGCGGCCATGTTCCTCCTTCCCTTCGCCTCAGCATCGGGGCCGAAACTGGACACCCCCCGCACTGCCGAAGGTGGGAGGGGCCAGAATAAACGCCCCTTGCTCCAGCTCCCACCGACGGGTTGCTGGACGAGCTCCCCTGACAAGCAGGGAGCCCGAACAAAGCAAAGGAGGTTCAGGCGGGGACGGAGCACAGCTCGCTCCCACCCGCCCGTCAACGCGCCATACCAGAAGTCCCCAATACTCAGTATGATTCTGAAAGCCTTATTGACTCCACTGAAACTGAATGGAGCCATTCTTTCTGCTTTATCTTAAGTCTTCCGCTTCTTCGGAGGTGGTTCAAACATAGACCTGGTGGGACCCATGTCAGATGACCTTGATCTTCTGTGGGTCAGATCCAACCTCAGAACCAATGGAACCAAGACCACTGAAGAAGGGTGAGACGGATGGTCCATATGCAAAGTGGACTTCAATATTGGTGGGGGGGCACATTTCGCCAGGGCAGATGGTTTGACTGCTGAGTTATAAACTCGATGAAGCCCTCTCCCACAAAGCTGCCTATCAGTGTGAAGTGCCATCAGTCTGGGCCTTGGGGGTGAACTGTTGGCAGGCACAAGGAATGTTCATCCATGTCCATCATTTTGGCTCCTTAGGAGTAACATTTTTTAAACACGGCCTTCTGAGACATTCCAAAGAGAAAAGCCTCAAAAAACCAAATCTGAGGAGTAGAACTCACTACAGGAGTAAGAAAGGTCTTCACTGAGTGATAACAAAGAATGAACTGAGGGAAAGAAAGCACCTCCTGACCAAGAGCACAGGACAGTTTGAGCAGGAAAATGGCTGCTGGAATGCTCTAGAAGAGAGAGGTTCCCCTGCTCTGTCTCTGGGCAAAAAAATAAGTTGAAAAATCTTCCGAGCTGCTGACCTGCACATGTAGAGTCCCAATGTGGGACTACACAGAAGAACAACAAGAAACCTGGACATTTCCCACAACATGGTCCCTACAGGCCAGAAGGCATACATATCTTTACAGTGTGTGTGTGTGTGTGTGTGTGTGTGAGAGAGAGAGAGAGAGAGAGAGAGAGAGAGAGAGAGAGAGAATGTGGACCTCAGTGATCCTGGAACCAGTGATGAACATCTGTGGTTTGGCATTGGAGCCAGGCAAACTAAGCTGTCTGGTTCCTGTGGCATTAAGGCATTGGCTGGGTCATAGTATAGGTAGAATGGTGGGATATAAATTTTTGTAAAATAAATAAATAAGAAATAAGGGTGTGCAGGGGTAACCTCATTACTTGACCCCCAAAACGGACTCTGAGGGTGAGGGGCATGGCAGTCACCTTTAGCACTGGCACACTGACCATGTTCCCAAGAGGCTGGTAGTGGGAAGGAACAGCAGCTTCCATGGCTAAAACTAGCTCTATTTCCTTGGTCACCCCCAGCAGGCAGGTTGGGGGGTTCACTGTCAGCAGTCACACTGTCAACTGCACTCATTGTGAGGCAGGTTGGCTCACTGTTAGCTGTCAGTTGTGCTCAGTGTATGCTCCGCCAAGACCTGAGGAACCTATAATCAATAAAGTTGTGGCTTGATTTTCTTCCAGTCCAGTGGCAATCTTCCAGGACAAACCCAAGAGTAGAAACAATTTCAGTGGCTGTGTTATGCACTAGCACTAGGGCACCAATGAACCAGTGAATAATCTGAGGCATGCATCACAGAACCTCTTGCAATGTTGTAAAGCCATATCCCACAACTAGCCAAGTTACTTCACCTTGATTTAAAACTGACACAGATAATGTTTTAAAAAAGATTTTCAGCTTGAAATCAAATAAATTATAATATTTCTTTTAAAAATACTTTTTAAGTACTACATCTGGTTCTGAAATCCCATTCCAATTTTTATGGCTTCAAAATAACATTATATTCTTTCTGAAAGTATGTTATTCCACCTCTTAATGCTGAGTGAATGAAACTCCTTAAGTATATAACATGTGCAAAACAAACATTTGAGTGTGCTTTAAATGCATATTCAGTATCAGCCCGGAACAAGCAAGCTGTTAAATGGGACATACGCTGATGATGGCTGTTGGCACATTAGCACAGCTTCTTACCTCTGTTATTTTGGCATTTTCTCCTGCATCTGTCATCTTCACTGGTGTTGAACGCTGTGACACAGCTCCTTCATCTTCTTTATCAGTCCCAGAATCATCTTCAGAGCTGCTTGACATTGCTTCCTCACTAGGAGGTGGAGGAGCACTGGCAGCTGTTTTACGCTGCAGCACTGTTTCTTCTCTGTTGCTCTTGTTCCTAAAGAAAATTCATGGTCTTATTATGCCAAACATGATCAAAGAAAAGTGCTTAGATTTCACGGGGGTTGCCTTCAAGGGATACTGGTGGAAGAATAATCTTTTCTGCTGCTCTTTGGCTTAATGCGTTGACTTTTCCTAGGTATTTCACTGCCTCTTTGAGCTAGTATAAGATTTAACACTCCTGCAGTTATATCCTTATAAACCTAGTAACTTCAGTGAATTTAGAAGGGTGGAACTCTGTTTAGGAGTGCCCTAGCAAGCATTTTACCATGATTAAGAGATTCAGAATGAGGCACTGAATCATGAGGGTCTAGGGTTCAAGTCCCTAGCCAAGCATCCTCTTTCTTGATGAGGGGCCATGGCTCAGTGGTACAGTACGTGCTTTACCTAGGGAAGATCCTAGATTCAGTCCTGGCATTTCCAGTTAAAGGAGCTCAGGTACCAGTTTGCAGAGCACTGAAAAAACACCTAGGAAATATTTTCTCTTTTGGAGTGAGTTCAACACTAAATTTGACGAAGTTTTATTCACTCAAAATTTGTAGCATGAAGATTTTAATGTACAACGATCTGCAGCATAACAAAATGACTAATACCTTTATATTCTGTTGTGAGCCTCAGTGTCACTGAGGTTGGCAGAGACCAGCACACCCCTTCAGGCCCTCACGTTTTTGGGCCTTGACAGGCCACAGTTCACAAATGGGACAGGGTTCAGGTCCCATGCTCTTCTTACTTTCTCTCTACTCCTTTCCCCTTGAACTAGCTAGACACAAAGCTGAGTGAGGTCCACCCTAGCCAAAGTCCCTGGCCTTCATGAAGCAGGCTCTATTGTCTATGCCCACCCCCTCACCTGTCCCTCCTACTTGTGGGATTAGCTCCATCCTCAGGAAACAAAGGGAGGGTATAGTTCTTAGTCAGATGTAGCCTTCATTATGGTCAGCCCTGCCTGGTCTGGTTCCTCTCTTCCCCTGGATAGTTTGCCTCACCTAGCTGAGTTGGCTTGATGCTGGAACCAGTGTTCCCTGGGCCCACCCAGCTGCATTTAAGAAGAAACACATCAGGCATGAAGCCATGCTTGTCCATGTCTTCTACCAGTTTATGTTGTCTACTCTCCTGGCCCTCTTTCAGAACTCCTCAGGGCAGGGAGGAATTCTGGTGGCTGTGGTCAGGGATGCTGGCATTACCCACTCCATGTTCTACATAAATTCGGGGATGTGGGGGCTGCCCCTGAAAAGCTGTATATAATACATATTTTTAAAATATCTTCATTGTTTAAATGAGACTAAATTGTCCATAATTAATACACTATAAAGTGTATGCATGATAGTACACTATTGAAGGGCTCAATGTTATGAAATTTTGTTCAGTATCCAAATACAAAACAGGTTGCTTACCTGTAACTGGTGATATGGTCATCTGTGCATTCACATCCATGGGATACAGTGCGCATGCGCTGGATCAATCGGCATTGTAGCAAGCTCTTAACGGATTTTTGTGCCCAGACCTCGGGCATGCGCAGGAACCCCACCACGCATGCCCAGAGGGGTGGGCGCGGACATCCCACCAGTTCCTTCAAACTGCCACAAATCAACCCCTATGAAAAATGTAGAAGCTGACAGCAGCAGGGAAGGAGGGCGGGTGGTGTGAATGCACAGATGACCACTTGAAGATCACCAGTTACAGGTAAGCAACCTGTTTATCTTTGATGTGGTCTCTGTGCTTCACACCCATGGGAGATTAGCGAGCAGTGGCCTACCTGGAGGAGGGTGCTGGCAGGTCATTACTGCGAAGCCGAGGATAAGATGTGACGTTCCATGTTGGTACGAGAGTTCTTACAAACGTCTAGGGCGTAGTGCATTATGAATGTGTTAGGTGTAGCCAACGTAGCAGCTCTGCAAATGTTCGTTAGGGGAACTCGCTGGAGGAAGGCAGTTGAGGCTGCAACAGCTCTGGTTGAATGAGCCCTGACAGGGCCAGGCAATGGCTGCTTAGCGATAAGGTAGCAGAGGCGGATGAGACCTGCAATCCACCTTGACAAACGCTGAGCCATGATGAGAGTTCCCAGCCTTGCTGGCGCACAGGAGACGAACAGTTGACAGTCACGCCTCGTTGGACAGGTTCTGTTTAAGTAGAACAGAAGTGCAGGCTTTGTATCCAGCATATGTAACAGCCTCTCCTCTGGGGATGTCGGAGCCGGGAAGAAATCCAGAAGACCTCTGCCTGTAGGTGAAATTCTGACACTATCTTTGGCAGGAATGAGATGGCAGGTATGAGGCGGACGCCGTCTGGCAAAAATGACAAGTAAGGAGTGTCATGTCTGAAAACCAGTATTTCTCCAACTCGTCTCGCTGAAGTGACAGCGACCAGAAAGGCTGTTTTCCAGGATAGGAATTTTATGTCGCAAGTTGCAAGCAGCTCAAAAGGTTTCTTGGTGAGTTGATAAAGGACCAGGGGAAGGTCCCCGGGTACGACAGGAGTTTTGATGGGAGGGTAAAGGTGCAACAGTCCGTTCAAAAAATGTTTAGAAAGTGGATGCGAGAACAGTGTGCATCCCTCAACTTGAACATGGTAGGCCGAAAGTGCGGCCAAATAAACTCTTAACGAGGAATGTGAAAGTCCTGAGTCAGCGAGAGACAGGAGGAATTTGAAAAATTTCTCGAGACCTGCGGAGGTGGCTTGAGGGGCATCCTCACCCAAAGAGGAACAGAATTTTTGCCACTTGTAATGATACGACTTTCACGTAGTGGACTTTCTGGAGTTTAGCAAGACATTTGCTATGCGGACGGAAAAGCTGTTGACGCTACTCTACAGGCTGTCAACTTCATTCATGGCACGTCGTGGTATAGGAGAGGGGACTCGGTTAGAAACAGGAGGACTTCTGCCAGAGGAAATTGGTGGTAGACCCCCGCTGACAGATCAAGGATGGTTGAGAACCATGGTTGCCTCGGCCACCACTGGGTTACGAGGACGCAGTCCGCTCTGTCGCTGATGATTTTGCAGACCACTCTCAGAAGTAGAGGCAGTGGAGGGAAGAGTTAGAGAAATCCTCTGTACCACGGACAGAGGAGACCATCCCCTAGAGACTGTGGGTCCCTGCCACCTTGGCTGCAGAATGGAGGGCACTTTTTGTTCGCCCTGGTAGCAAAGACATCTATCTGGGGGAACCCCCACCTACGGAAGAGTGGGAAAAGGTAAATTGGATTAATTTCCCACTCGTGCAGACTGAGTCCTGCCCAACTTAGGTGGTCTGCCTGCACATTCATGTGCCCCGGGATGTGCGTGGCGACTAGGAAGACGTTGTGGGTGATGCAGAAGTCCCATAACCGGAGGGTGAGGTTGCAGAGGTGTTGGGAGACAGTGCCCCCTTGCTTGTTCACATAGCTGAGGGCAGTAGTATTGTCCGTGAGGACCGTGACACATTTCCCCTTGATCAGTGGCAGGAAACTGGTGACAGCGAACTGTATGGCAAGCAGTTCCAGGAAATTGATGTGCCAATTCGGTTTCTGAGTGTCCCATCTGCCTCCGACACAAAGTCCCATCATGTGGGTGCCCCAGCCCGAGAGGGAGGCGTCTGTAGTTAGGGCAATTTGGGGTGATGGAGGATGGAAGGGTGCTCCCTGGAATAGATTGAAAGGGACAGTCCACCAAAGTCCCGTACTTTGATAGGTGGAAATAGGTGTGTGGGGTGTGTGTGTGTCTCTCTCTGGGTTGAAATTGCTGATAAACCATATTTGCAGGTGACACATTCTTAATTTGGGGAAAACCAGGACTGATGTAGTAGTGGCCATGAGGCCCAGTAGCCTTTGAATTTGAAAGGCCGTCACTGAGGGTCGGGTACGGATGACAGTGGCTAGGTTGATTATGTCGGCTGCTCTGTTTTGTGGAAGGTAGGCTGTGCAATTAGTGGAGTCCAGTAGCACACCGATGTAGTGTATTTTCTGGACCAGCTGAAGTCGAGACTTTTCCAGGTTTACTTGTAGACCCAGGTTTTCCAGGATGAGAAGCATCTCGTTGATGTTTGAGACTAGGGCGTCCTTGGAGGTCGCTACCAAGAGCCAATTGTCGTTGTATAGGTAGATGGAGATACCCTTGAGACGGAGGAAGGCCGCGACCACCACCATCGTCTTTGTGAAGACTCTTGGTGCACTTGAAAGGCCGAATGGCAGGGCTCCATATTGGTAATGATGTTGACCAATTGCAAAGTGTAGGTATGGGCGGTGGGACGGGTGGATGGTGAGGTGGAAGTACGCGTCTTGGAGGTCGAGGGTGGCCATCCAGATGTTCTTCTGGAGAAGTGGCAGAATCTGCTGTAAGGACACCATGCAGAAGCGGTGGTAGCTCACAAAGCGGTTTAGCACCCGTAGATCTAAGATTGGTTGAACGCCTCCATCCCGCTTCAGAACAGTGAAATAGTGGGAATAGAATCCCTTGCCCCGTAGATGCAGTGGCACCGGCTTGATGGCTCCCTTCTGCAGAAAGATGGACACTATTTCCAGGAGGGCTGGAGAAGGGGGTGTGGAGACGAAGACAGGAGTTATAGGGTTCTGAATAAATTCTATGCGGTAACCCTGGATCAAGATGGACAGCACCCATTCGTCTGTGGTGATGAGGTGTCACGTTTGGAGGAAAGGGGTTAGACGGGTTGGATATGACTGGGAGATATGGAAGTCAAAAACCCTACTTGGCGGACCTCACCTGCTTACCGTGGGAAGACTGTTGTCCCGATCTGAATCTAGGTTTCTGAAATGTGGGCTTCTGGCCTCCAGAGGATGTACATGGCCTCCATTGCCAGTCAGAAGATTGACGGTTTGGGGTGTATTTTTGCCAGGGTCTGGACCAGTACGAGGTCGGTATTGTTGCCTCGTGGATGAGGAAACGCCCAGAGTACGAGAAGCTTTTATGCTTTTATCCATATCTAGTAACATGGTGTCTGTGGTACTA